AATTATTAATTTATCATATATTTTATTTTTACAAATATTTTCTTTATTTATTTTAAAATTAATATATTATTAATGTTATTTAGTTAAACATTATTTATGTCTACATGCAATAAGTAAAATAAACATGACTTTTCAAGTCATAATTTTAACTTTCGAAGAATTTTATTGGAGCTCAGCGAATTTAATGTTATTAAATATACTTTGTTTAAGCGGGTGTAAATTTTTGTTTTATAATTTATAGAATAATTTTACGTATATAAATTTTAAAATTATTTTTATAATTATCTTTGCAGCCTTTTAAATCATATACATAATATATTTGTAAGGTAAGGCATAAACAAGTAAGATGCGTATTTAAATATGTTAGGTATAAAAATAAAACATGACATTTGAACTTTTCATTAATTTATGTCGGGAGTTAATAGGATCAAAAAGTTTTATTCGATTAAATAATTCATGAAATTTAATAAAATATGAAGTGTCAAATTTATATCATAAACACTTAATAATATTGTTGAACACCTGATAATTAAGTCTGCCGCTAACCTATTTATAAGACACTTCGACAAGAGATATTGAGGACAATTCAGCATCGATTCCTTCTGATCCTCATTAATTCTACAACTCTAATCGATTACATCACTTTAGTTCCATGTAATCGGATGATGAAATTCTATCGTACTAAATACGGTGTAACTCATTCTATGATTAAAAGAGAATCAATGAATTACATTTGCAGAATACGCAAATACATCTTCCTTAGTATTCATAGAGAATATATACTGTATATTAATATTAAATATGATTATTATGCATGAGAAATCAAGCTTATTCCTTTAACCATACGCCTATTTAAATTATGTAAATTGTTATAAATTTATTACAATTTCTATAATATATTAATATTTCTTTAGGACATTAGACATAATTGAAAATGTGAAAGTAATTATTAAAAGTTTTTATATTTATTATGAAAAAATAAATATTTAAGTACTGATAAATTTTATATGTAATACTTTACTTACTGCAAGTCAACATACATTTGTAAGAAATGATAACAGAATTGACCTATATTGAGGAACATTAACGTTTCTCATCACATTTTTTACTCAGTAGTTTTAAATTATTTTATCAGATAAACATGCATCGAACATTGAAAATGTATAAAATTACACGTTGTTCGTCTAGATACCTTACTGTATTATTCGAATTTGTAATTTGAACTCTGACCAATCTCTGATATGAAAACCATTTATATATCACGAATCGTAGTCTACTTTAGATAAAAGCTTTCCTTATTTGTGTTCTGTATTTATATATATATATATAAGCCTACATGTTCATTCTATAAAAAGCTTTTCGACTGTTTATACATATAGCGATACAATAACAACATAAAAAGAAAACAGTTTTGATTAAATCTATACAGTATTATGCTATCAATTATTTACATTCAAATACAGTAGACTTCGAGTTATAACTTATTACTTTTTGGACATGAATAAATATACTTTTATAGACTGTATTTTTATTTTTTCCCCTATCTTTACTTGATATTATACGGTTTAAATTATATTTTGAGGAGTGTTCTTAAGTTATAACATTATGAGATGCGTTCTATTTCTTGTATATATAAAGACAATTTTCTAAGCAACACATTGCAATGATATAAGATTAGACATTTGATTTATTTATTTAAACCTTTTTAATAACTGACAACAATAATTCAATAAAAATTTATTAAATAGCTTATATAAACAATATATATGTAAATAAAGAATATTAAATATAAGATATTTTTGCTTTTTTAAATCAAGATTTATCATTAATTGGCATAAAAAAAATGCACATTTAAATGCATACGATAAAGGTAGGTATATTCAATAATTATTATCAATTTTTATTTTATAATTTAATTAATAAAATTGAAAATGTAAATATTTACGTGTTTATGTACAATATTTAAATTTAAATAGCACATGGAGGTGGATTCATTTGTCCAAACATATTTAATTCGCACATACAAGCTATCACAAGGAATATTATGTATAATCCTAGACACGAAAGACCAACTTTCCAATTTAGTTTCCATCCGGCAACGATAAAAGTCAAAAACAACAAAACAACTGTAGATAATAATGTTATAGTTGTATATGTCAACGCAGAACTGTTGATAACTAATATTCCCGTCTTGGAAAATATCGTAGTTTTCAACAACCAAGGAACTCCTAAGCAAAATAATACGTCGAAAATATTACTCCCGATCAAATTACAGATAGCCATATTTGCCATACCTACATAAAAATATATCATTTTAAAATTTATTTATAATGATTCCTTATAATGATTAGTCAAACGGTCATATTTACCATTTCTAACTACGATAACACTGGCTATTATTTCTGGTACACTAATTCCAGCTGCTAATATGGTAATTCCGGAAACAGAATCGGGTAATTCAAAAGTATGGCCTGTAAAATGCATAAATAAAGTCGTAAATTTTCAAAACTTTCAGCAATAAGCTATTTCTAAAAATACATTATTTTCATGATAGCATTAATATTGCAAAATTATAACTAAAATATAAAAGAAACATTTAATTTTAGATAACTAGTATTATGTAATTGGTAATTACCAATAATGGTTACCATCCAAGAGCATAAATAAGATATAATTCCGATCCAAAGTACAGACATTAAAAATGTTATAGAAAAATTATTATTTCCGGGTTTTTGTATGTCAGGTATTGTTATTGTCAGAAGCAAATTAACAGGTGATAGCATTACTCTCCACAGTATCCATGCAATTCCTCCAAAGACTTCAGATTCTTCTGAATTTACCGTTTCCCCATTAATCTTGTCTGTTGATTTCTAAACATTTATTGTACAAAATTAATTACAATAATTATCACTAAACATTTATATTTAATTTTGAAGAAACAATAAATAATTACTATCATTTTATCATCGTCCGTTAAATTTTCATTTTTATTTTTTAATTTTTTATCTGAAACTTTGAAGCTTCTTCGTCTTCTAGTTAAATAGATTTTTCTTCCACATTGACAGTCTCCATTCAATGATGGTTGACTCAGCTTAATTTCAGGACTACAGACACATTCGTTTCTCCACCATTTTTTAAAGCTATCCATCTGTTAGAAGGTGAAATAAAAATTCAATTATTTACATATATTATAGGAATTCGAATAATTAAAATTACCTGTTCTGTACACCAACTTTCACATTTGGTATTATAATACATTATTGTGATATAAATAGTAAACATCCCTATTAAGAAAACTGATTCCGACCTATAAACATATTTATCTGTTAAATTATTATATTTAACAATTTAGAAATTAAAAATAATAAAGCACAAACCATACAACAACATTGTTTCGGATAATGACAACCAATGATATTACAGATATCACGTACATCAAACTATCTCTTGATATAGGATACCAATCAACAGTAGCTTCCTACAGAAGAGTATATAAGACAATATTAAAATAAAATATATAAGATTTTGTGCATATTCCTTAGCAAATTTAAAAACTCTTCGCGAATTTAATGAGATATTAACCGAAATTTTTCATCATTATCGTATATTTTAACTATCATATATAGCCTACTAAGTGAATACTTAGTTAAATTTTTGCTTAAGTCGTAAAAACTTTTCTAAAGTGTTCTCTCTTTAACTCACAGTTCTCCAAAGAATCAATCCAGTAACACTCGTTACTCCAAGAATATTAAAAACAGCAGAACCAACAACAGTTCCAATTCCAATATCACCTTCAGTTATAAAAGAACCTGTGAAAAAAATAAATTATATAAATGAGATAATAAAACTGTCCGTCTTTGATGGGTACTTCTTTCCACCTATTAGAGCAGAATAGAGTTCTGGCGATGATGTTCCTATAGCCATAAATGTCGCTCCCGCAACGTCAGTTGGAATTCTCAAGCCTGAAAGGAAAAAAAATATCGTAAAATATATAAAGTAATATCTAACATTCGCTTCTTTAAACAAATGCCTGAGGCAGATAAAATTATTAAAGTTTCCTACTCAAAATGATAAATTTATTTACTTTAATATCATATTATCCGAATTTACATATATTATTTTTTATTAAAAATATAATTATATAAATTTAT